AAAAAAAAAAAAAAAAAAGAAAAAGCAAATTCACATACATGTGCGACAAGTCTATCGCAGGCCTATCACCTCGCACCTATCTAAGCAGCTGCAGACACTGTAAAATAGTGACACTCCCAATAACATAAAAGCTGTGTGGACTACTGGTCAACGCACTGCACTTGTAATCTGGAAGTCTTGTGGTCCACTCCACACCATGTCGCGGGATGAATTGTTGTTCATCGGCTCTGGATAAGACTCCTGGTCAAACTCCCATCCGTTAGAAGTTTTAACAAGTTTTCGTTTATAAATTTACGAATTTAATTCATTCGTTTGGTTGACACCTTTGTTTATTAATGTTCATGGTCCCCGCGCCTCCAACAAGATTAGTATGATAAAGATTTAAAATATCAGGGAAAATACGTGCACTCAGATTGATAAAAACCAAATTGTTTAACGCATCTTAAAACCCACAGACAACAAAAAACATTTTACAGCTGGACGAAAAACTTTCAGATCGACGGCTTCAATTGATTCACAACCTTTCATCTCGTTCTCCCGAGCTGCTAAGTGGGTTATTATGCCAGGAAACCGAGAGAGAAAAAGCGGGTCCATTGTTTAAATGTACTTACTCTCTCTCTTAGTGGATACCAGTTGGGTGATGGATCATCCCAGCTGAAGCCTGAGTCCTGATAAGTGTCAAGAGGCAACATCACTTCCCCCAAGAAATCATTATGTCCAAAAGTGTCGTGATTCCACAAAGCTAGCCACAGGGTGCGTGTTAACATCTCCTCAAATCCAATCTTGTACTATCGTGCAGGGAATAATAATAATAAAAAAAATAGATTAAGGTACACAAAGCATCGTAAGATTTCTACACAGCACAGATAACAAAGGGCCTATTTTCGATAGCCTGCCATGTTAATAGAGCTACAAGTATGTCTCGATTTGTACGCCTTAACCCTTTAACACCAAGGAGTGACCAAGGCAGAATTTCTCCTTACAGTATCAATACAATATCAAACAAACGGGTGGTAAGAATAAAAAAAAAATCAATAAGGGCATTAGAGTTGATCCAATACCAAATTCTCCGAACTAAAATCATGGGAATTGAACAGTGGGGAAATTAATAGCCTTGGATGTGAAAGGATAATACATCAAAAATTATCCCTTATGTTATTTTTTTCCGACTAATCAAAGCGGTCGCCATCAATGACGTTACGTGAGTAATACGAAGAGTTTTTCACGTCCACGTGGTGTCTGTTTGAGGTTATGTTGAAGTTCTTCGACTGTGAATAACCTGTGCGTGTGTGAATCTCTTTCTTTTTTAATTCTGTGTTTATATTAGTCTGTTGCTTCTTGTTTGATTCTCCTTTCCAAGTACGAGCAATTGCAACAGCAAAACAAACGAACTTCGCTATTGAGGTACCTGAACATGGACAAGCACAAACATCCCACATATTTACCGTTAAAATTTCGTCGAAATCTGGATTCAACGTATTCTTCCTTGTCTTGGTCTTCTTTTTGCCTCCCTTAGTTTTATCAGGTAAAAGGTACACTTTAGCGTACCTATGGACAGATGATAGTTATTTTGAAACTTCAAAAGGGAAATATAAATAAAAATGAAAGCAGCTGAATCCTTACTATGAGACAGCAGTGAGAAACAGAGGCAGAAACTTTCAAATTCTCAAACACATCCTCGCGGCCGACAGACTTGAAGAGAGTATGCGCATGCGATACGTTTTGGCGCGGAAAACTACTGAACTTAAAAGAAGGAAATTCGAAACATTTTTGTATCAAGTCCAGAAACAGTCCAAACTTCAACTACGGTGGATTTCTGAGAGTGTGCTCAGAAATAGAGTCCGACAGATCTCCACAGTGCAATACTGGGCTCAGAAATAGAGTCCGACAGATCTCCACAGTACAATACTGGGCTCACAAATAGAGTCCGACAGATCTCCGCAGTGCAATACTGGGCCCAGATATAGAGTCCGACAGATCTCCACAGTGCAATACTGGGCCCAGAAATAGAGTCCCACAGATCCCCACAGTGCAATACTGGGCCCAGAAATAGAGTCCGACAGATCCCCACAGTGCAATACTGGGCCCAGAAATAGAGTCCGACAGATCCCCACAGTGCAATACTGGGCCCAGAAATAGAGTCCGACAGATCCCCACAGTGCAATACTGGGCCCAGAAATAGAGTCCGACAGATCCCCACAGTGCAATACTGGGCCCAGAAATAGAGTCCGACAGATCCCCACAGTGCAATACTGGGCCCAGAAATAGAGTCCGACAGATCCCCACAGTGCAATA